AGTCGCCTCGGCTGAAGGATGAGGCTGTTTGCTCACCATTGTTAGCATAACAGTAGTGTCTACTAGAGTTGAGGTAATCGAAGTTATCTTTGGAGAGGGGGCTGTAACAACAACAGTCTTCTTCGGAGGAGTGGCAAGCTTTTTTTGTCGATCGTCGAAGATTTTATTCTTGATTTCCTCGACCGATGTGCCGAAGAAATCTTTGGTGTAGATATCCTACCAGTCGGCAAAGGTATTGGTGCTGTGGGTTTCAGGGGTATTCGACCGAAGACGGAATTTGGTGCACCGTTCTTCAAACTCTTGTTCCACTTCTTCACATTCCTTTTCTAAGGAGCCAAAGAGTCGTTTTTGACTCAGAAGTGAGCAAAATGTGAGTAAAGGCATAAGACACCCTTAGAGTTAACCTAGTTGTCGAGCCACAAAATGGGGATGGTAGACTTCCCAATTGGCCCGTCAAATGTCACAACCGAAAGGAAGGTCGTGAGCCAGCATGAACGATCCCTGGGTCTGCCGAAGATCATTGTCTTTTATTTCCTCCCATATGGACATAGAAGTCTGATGAATGATGGATAGTCTCTTTGACGACAGATTAGGAATTCATCGTTGGTAAGGTCGTCTAGGCCAAAGAAATATTTAAAAATCTCTTCAATTGAGTGAGTTAGGTTTGGGCGAAAAGCCAATTAAGACTCATTACTTCAAACGAATCAAAGTTGAAGTTCTTTGGCCTTAGGATAGCAAAATAAACCTGCAACCAAAGTTGAAAAACCCATAGTGGGTCGTTCTGGTTCGGGTTGATTTTCCTAATAATTGCTTCAGCCAAGCATCATGAGGTTGGCAAGAATAGCGGGGCTAAGAGCCAGAATGTGACCATTGGCCAGGGCTTCAGCCACTGGCATATTCTCAGCAAGGCATTTGTTTGACTTGGTACAAAAGATGAATTTGTTGTACCAGTAGAACAAGAAGGCATCTTGTCATTTCTTGAGTTTTTGCTTTTTCTCAGCCAGCGAAGTGGTTGATGAGAGAGTTGTAATTGAAGAAGTTCTTGTGCAGCTTGTTCACTTCTTCTTTTAATATTTCCTATCGATTATCCTTTTTCAGGACTTTGAAGGTGCGCTTATCGAAGACTGTTTTCAAATTCAAATCTAACTGATACCAAGAAAATGTGGTTTCAATTGGAAGACCAGATGGTGAGGTGCCGAGGATAGCCGTTATGTCTAGAACGGTTGGACCAATAGGGCCAAGGGGAAACACCATGGTGTTGGTGGTCGAGCACCAGAAACTCAAGGCAACCATCAAGAGTTGTTGGTTCATGTTAACCTCGATGGTCAAGATTTTAATGGCGTCAAAAATGCCAAATGACTTATAGTCGTCGCCAAAGTGGGGTTCCATTCAGCTAACCTAAGTAGCCCAGACCGCTAGGGTCGAATACCAGACTTCCCGAGGTTTGGTCGATTCCTACTTCGTCCAATCCTACCCTTAGAATAAAGGACTCAGGCAGTGGTTCTTCAGCATTTCAGTTATGACCTTTGGAATGTCATCTTTAACCAAAGAACCCAGGATCTAGTGAGAGGCGACTAAATCTTCCTCAAATCAGAGGGTTTTGATGGCATTCCAATCGATGAAATCGTGACATTTGTCATATTTTTTGACAAGTTTGGTGATGAAGGTATTAGCAGCCATTGAAGCAAAAGTTTGGAGGTTTTTGTCTGGGTTTCAAAGGTTGGTCTTTTTTGGGTTTGAAAAGCTTAGAGAAAAATGGCAAGAGTTTTGAGAATTTTGGAAGTGTAAAGTTGGAATAAGGTCGGAAATGATATTTATAGAAAAATGGAGAAGAAGATCGATGGTTTCAAATTCAAAAGTTTAGGGGTAAATCCGGCCGAAAGATTTTGCAATCATTACAAAAATTTAAAAATCCAGCAAAGAGGTCAAAAAACACACAAATTGGGGTTGCCCAATTGCGTGTGGTAGCGAACTTTAGGGCATGACATTAGGAATAGACATTTAGATGTCTACATGCCTCGGGCGTGAGGCTTGTGTGTTGTCGAATCTAGACAGTCGCAACGAGAAGCGCAGCGTGTCAAACCATTGCAATTATCAAGGACTGACATATAGTGGGAGATCATGTGTGATAAGTGTATCTAAGTGGATAGGAATATTCTTTTTTGTAAGGATCTTTAGATCAACCACAAAGTGTAGGCCGAAGGTTTATTTCTCAGTTATAAATATATCGTTTCTTCAAGGCCGAAGTTCGACCAGACACTGTAGGCCAAAGACCTAAGAAGCGAAGGGGCAATGTTTATACCCAAAATAACGCTTTGGGCTAAGCCTAGAGTTATTCTTGGTCCAGAAAGGGGTACTGAAAATATTCTGTCATAGGCCGAATCCATTGGAGTTCGGCCAAATCCTATTAAGAGATGGTTTGGCCTGGATAAGGGTGAAGTGGTCGAATCCTAGTGCAATGAAGATTCTTCAGAAGCTAAGGATGCTTTGAATTACAAAAGATGCTGAGAATTGAGGAATGAATCTGAGTGATAAAAGAGCTTAGTTCAGAGTCCTATAGGGGTTAGGATTGGTCGAGACCTAATCAGATTGGGTTGAGGAATTCTAGTCCAAGTTAAATTCTACCTCGGCCATGGAAGAAATCACTACTATAAATAGAGAAAGGGGTGCATCATTCAAAGCCCCTCAAATTCAACATACAACTATCATGTGCAAAACTCTCAAACACCTTGAGATTTTTATTTTCTTTTTTCCCGCCAACACATCTTCAATTTGGATAAACAGCATTATGGAGGCAACCGGCAACATCTTTAGTTTGGATAAACAACACGGCAACATCTTTGGGAATTCTAAGAGATTTGATTGAACTGTTGGGCTAGTAGTGTATAACTCGGCCAAGAGGAAATTAAATTTTCTCAATACGAAACGAGCATACGTTGATCTTGTATGTTTTGGCGACTAGCAATAGGCAAGGTTAATTGAAGCTCAAGAAAATAGGGGACAATTCTTATACCTAATTGTGCACCAACGACCCATTTAATCAAGGCTGTTAAATGAATCAGTATTTTTCCAAGATTTTATTACTAGTCTTAATTGTCGTTGTAATTATGTTGGAGAAATATAGTATGAGCTTAGAGATAAGACAAAATTGATAGGGTTTTTCAACAAGAAGACAACGCTGAAGTTGTAGAATCAGTTCGGCTTAAGGAGTCTTGATTGCTTGGGTAAATGACAAGTCTTTCAAGTTCCATTGATTATTTATCTTAAGTCTCATCTAATGAGGTGTCTCTGATTCTTTTGTTGAAAGATGTCACTTCATTAAGTTTCTCGGCGAAGTTGAGTGTTTTATGATTGAATATTCTCAAGCGACATTCACAGTTTGGCATTCAGACGATCAAAAGACTTTTACAATAAAGACACTCATTTCCTTTGAGTATCTTTGTCCCTATAGTTTGATATTAGTTCGGTGGACCTATATGCTTACCAATGCCGAACCTAGTGCACAAGATCCAAAACTTCATAGTGATTTGTATATCCTTGTCTACAAGTTATAGGACCCAAGGCCGAGAGTGTTCCTTCCTTGGCTTAAATCACTTGATTTAGGAGTCAACAACACATTTCACCACATCAACCACATTCAAGACATTCGCCTAATCGAGCTCGATAGTGAGTGGGCACACCCGTATCAGCCATCAACAACTAAAGAACGTAGTTAACTCCTTAGTTACTCGTCCTACGCACCGCATAAATTGTGTAATTTTTAGAGCCAACACGTTCTTATATATAAATATTCTCACCACTACTACTATCATCATCATTGATCAGCTAATTAAGCTTAAGCCATTTTAGTTTCGTAAGAGAACCTTGATCTCGAAAATGATGAATTTGTAGCTCAAATTTTTACTTTGAATATGATTAATTTGCTGCCGTTCTGTTTTTGGCACATATATCTACACTATCACACCCATTAACCAGATGCACTCACTCAATTGCATCAATGACGCAAATCCACTACTAATGCATTTACAGTAGCTAGCTGTTCATCTCTCTCTCTCTCTCTCTCATACTAGTCATTCTCTGTTTGGTTTTGTGTATATGCTTCTCTCTCTCTCTCTCTCTCTCTCTCTCTCTCTCTCTCTCTCTCATACTAGTCATTCTCTATTTGGTTTTGTGTATATACTTCTGCAGGGTGCATATATAAACCTTGGCAGATAATAAGTTAAAAAGCGCGCAATCATTAACAAATTTACCAACGGTAGTTCTTAGTAAGTGGATTTAGTTACTGTAAAATACATTACCAGCCAGCTAGAAAAAGATTAGAAAACTATCTATTTGTGTATCACTTTCAAACTCAGACTTCTTTTTGGATTTTCATATAGAAATGAAAAAATGAGTCACTTTCAATGTTGAGAGAGAGAGAGAGAGAGAGAGAGAGAGAGATGGCGTCTTTTTCCCTCCACGCAGCTTAAAACACGCAGACTGGCAAATATAGGTAGTGCCCTCGACACGTTTCGACCTTCCAAATTCCCATTCTTTTTGTTCCACTCCAACAAACCAAACCAATCCAATTCACCCGCACATTATTTTTCACATATATAGTTTGTACACACAAGAAACACTACATAAATAATAAAAATTAGAAATAAAAAGCTATCTACATTCATATATTTATACAAGTACCCAGCCAGCTAGCTAGACAGAGAGAGAGATAAAGGATCATGAGTTTTGTTAGCTAAATAAGAAAAAATCGCGAGAGGAAGTAAGGACGAGGGAGGGAGAAAGGGAAAAAAAAAAGAAAACAGCTAGGGCTTATCGTATGTTTGCTTCACGCAAACAGCTAAATGTGGGTATTAAGCCTTTGCTCTCTCGCGTGGCTTTAAAGTCTCTTTTTTCTATCCCATCTCATCAGCCTACTAGCGTTTTTTATCACCTCTCTCTCTCTCTCTCTCTCTCTCTCTCTCTCTCACTAAATAACAACAAATAAACCCAAAACGAAAACACAAACACACACCCCCCCCCCCCCCAATCCCCACCCCACCAAACCCCAAATCTCCTCCTCCTCCTCCTTTTTCACGAACATTAATGACGCCTCCACTCCTCACGATCATAAATCAAAACAAGTGAATTATATATATATTCAACAATTTATAATTTAATTAATAGCAAACAACCCATCAAGACAGAGACCATCCATGAATCCAACAAACCCTAATGGTGGTGATGGTAGTGGTGGAGGGAGCAGTAGTAGTGGTGGTGGCGGTACCGGCAGCGGCAGTCCATGTGGCGCGTGCAAATTTTTGAGGAGGAAGTGTGTGCCTGGGTGCATATTTGCACCCTACTTTGATTCGGAGCAAGGCGCGGCTCATTTTGCGGCGGTGCACAAGGTTTTCGGAGCCAGCAATGTCTCCAAGCTTCTTCTTCATATTCCAGTACATAAGCGGCTCGACGCCGTTGTCACCATATGTTACGAGGCTCAAGCCCGCCTTAGAGATCCAGTCTACGGCTGTGTTGCTCACATATTCGCTCTCCAACAACAGGTGTGTGTCTGTGTTAACTTTATCTTTTTTAGATCAACTTAATTGATCACTTGAGCTCTTTTATTAATTTTTTGGCTAATGAATTGATGAAACCAACTTCTTGACAAGGCTTAATTGTGATGTTGTTCTTCATATTTTATTTTTTATTTTTTATTTTTTTTGTAATTTCTTTTTACTTCATTTTATCAGCTTTTTGAAGTAATATACATATACAAGGCAGTTTACTCTTAATTAATTAACTTCTACCCATTTCTGATTACGTCCATTATACTAACCCAAAAAAAAATCCATTTAACTTTTTTTTTTAATTTAATCCAAATTTTTTTTCTTTTTTGGGTACTATAGGCCATTGATTTCCATATTTTTCAACTTGCATTGACCCAAAAGATCTTTCAAAAAAAATATTAGTAAAGAAGGATAGGGCAAAGGCAAACCATGGCCTTATTGACAGGAGGGTGTCTTGATCTTTACTGAGAGAGTAGGACCTATAGGACCTTCCTCGGTGCCCTTAATGAGAAATATATATAGATATAAGCTTTTTTATAGTTAGGAAATTAGAGCTTAATTAAAAAATAAAATCAAGTAAGTATAAAATGTAAACTGTAAAGGATACCCTTAGGGGACAGTTTTGTGCTTTACTGAAATCTAGAGGCCTTTTTTGATTAACAAATCATGTGGTCGGCGGTTACACTATGGAATACAGGTCTGTGCCATCTTACTGTGCAAATTGTGGTTCTTTGCTGGGATTAAGGAGGAATGGTCGGTTTGTTTCTTCATTCAATCTAAGTAGCCTTTTAATTAATTAAGGATGACGAGAGTCGTTTTTCTTTATATATTTTCCCACTATTAATAACTTATTTTAATTCAGCAATTCCTGGGAGAAGTGGAGAAGGTTTGTTTTTCTTGTCCACATTTTTTTATATCCATTCCATCTCATTTTCAGAGATAGGCCACCAATTTCAGCTCCACATCTCCAAATATAGAATTGAGTGCAATATGAACATTAGTATGATAAGTACATATGATATTATACACTATTAATTAGTTAAATATGAACTATATTATTGTTAGTGTAAATAATATTTTTGTTAAAAAAAATAGTCAAATATATATCATCTGACCAAAGCAAAAAACCCATTGAAATATGACGCCCAAAAAATAAAAAACTATTTCATATCTGCAAAAATATATTTGCAACTTTGGGTCAAAAGAAATTGTTAATATTTTTTAATAAAATTTTGAACCAGTGGATGAGAACTATTTATATCACAATACTTATAGTTACTTCTATGTAAGACTAGATTACTTCCTTTTCTTTAAAGAAACATAGCTTGCTAATATATTTAATTTCTTTCAAATGCAAAACATATGTGAACCTTACACTTGAAGAATGAGTGTCACACCATGCATATTATTGTTGCAGTAGGACTATTTATATCACATTAATTTATTAGATACGATAATTATTATCATATCTCTCACTAATTCAAGACTCACGTGAACTTCACAGCTGAAAAGTGAACGTCTCATCATACTCTCTACACGTTAGTGTTGCAATGGAATTATTTATATCACATTAATTGACAACATACATTAATTTCTATTATATCTTTTGACCTCGCACTCAAAAAATGAGCGTTACGTACATATCTGTGAGAAGTGTGATAACCAATGTGAGTGACTAATCAATCAATGTAGAATCTACTTTTTCTCATGCATTTGGAATGTGAATGTGTGCTTGTCAGTGTTCTAAAATGTCCCTGCCTAGCGCCGTCTAGTCTATGTCTAAACGTTAAGCGGCTGTCCACTACCACAATAAGCAGGACATCTCCAAGTATAGAATTGAGTGGAATATGAACATTAGTATGATAAGTACAATGATATTATCCACTATTAGTTAGTCAAATATATATCATCTAGACCGCGTTTTAAAAATAATAAATTGTGTCTAAACCTGCCTAGGCGCCTTCCTAGATTCACTTAGGCACACGCTTAGGTAGCAACTCTCACTTAGACAAAAAATAGATACTTCTATTTTACATTTTTATTTTTTAATAAATTGAAAGATACTTATTGGATACTTTGATGAACACTCATTATATGTGTTTTCTATATTTTCTAGTACTTTAAAATTTATATGTTATTCTATTTTGCAATTTATGTATCTCAAAACAAATTATATATTTTTAAAGTATAAGTAGATATTCATTTATATGATATAATAGATTTAATTAAAATTAAAAAAAATCACCTAGGCCCCGCCTAAATGCCTAGACGCTAGGCCTTGCCTGCCACCCGACTAGCCCCTAACGCCTTTTAAAATCTTTTGTGCTTGTAACCCTTAGGTTTGAAAATTTTCCATAACCCCATAGCCTAATTAGACCACATGTGCATCCTATGTTATATGTAGCAATAACCTTGTTATTAGATAAGTTAAATAACTAAATAGTACAGTTTGTGATCATTGAGTAACTATATTTATGTAATGGAATCATGTGAGAAAAATTTAATTAGGTAATTTTTTGGATATGTGGAATCAAGTTACAAATTTCTTTCTAGAGTCAATAGTTTAAAGCTCGATCAAGTTACAAATTACCATGTAATATTATAAAGGGATGTGCTATCCGCACACCATTTTTCATTTCTCACACGCCCTCCTAATTTGCTGTCATCTAATCTAATGAATTAAAAAAAAAAAATCAAATGACAGAAATTAACGAGAGGTGTATGAGAAGTAAAAAGAGATATGTGGATAACATACCCCTCTTATAAATAGTCACTATAATTGCATCCAATTTCAACAGCAAACGTCACCTTCCCCAACCCCAAGAACATATATGCAGAAGAAATTTTGTTCTTATTTCTTCCTTTGCCGTGAGAATCCTTCGTTTGTTCGCAATCCCATGTTCGAGTACACTGTACACATAGTTGAAGCACCCTTCAAGTATAAACAACGACAAAGAAGCCTTAAATTTGTCTCAAACCACTAATATTATGCATTATCAGTATAGAATATACAGATCAATGATCCTCGACTCGTTTATATAATCTTAAATTTAACACATGCTCAGTTTCCTAATTCATTCTCTAACTAAGAAATCATTTTCCAAACTTCAACTAGTCCCTTGTTTCTTGAAAAATACTCAAAACTATATAAACAGGTGTCCGGAGATCATTTCATTAAAATTTGAATCATTATATTTATCAAGGAGTTTTGATCCACTGACTTATATGTTGTTATTATAATCGTCGCGTTTACGGTTAAGGTTTCTATGTGTGTATGAAAATCAATTCATTGTTGTGTGTGTTTTTTCTTTTTGCGTTTACGGATTCTATGCAGGTGGTGAATCTGCAAGCTGAGCTCTCATACTTACAAGCCCACCTAGCGACAATGGAGCTTCCATCACCACCACCTCCACCCCCACCACCATCAGCAGCAGCACTCATTACCCCACCTCAATTCTCCATCTCAGACCTTCCATCAGCAGTCTCCTCCATGCCCGCTTCATACGATTTGTCCTCACTTTTCGAACCCATGGTCATGCAACCTTGGTCCATGCAACAGCGTGCGTTGCATGACCTGCGTCACCATCATCAATTCGGAGGCGGCAGTAGCGGTCCGGGTTCACCAGCTGGCGGTGGTGGTGGAGATCTTCAAAGTTTGGCTCGTGAGCTACTTCATAGGCATAGCTCATCTCCATCACCTGGGTCTGTACCGTGCTCTGAGAGTTCACCATCTCATTCTCACCCCAAATGAGAGTAGTGATCGAACCAATCATCAATTAATTTACGAGTACTTGCCTGATGAAATGCATGTTAACTCATGAACATATATAATATATATGTACTAGCAAGAGAACATAGTGTTAGGGTTTCGGTGGGCAGGTAATTTTAATGACGCATTTATATTTTTCTATTAACTTCTTATTTTGTTAATTCTTTTCTTTTTCAAAAAATGTAGTGAAGATTTAAACTTTAGATTATAAATATAGGGCATTTGGTGCGTCACTACAATCCTATCTGACTACTATCATTGGATTGGATATGCTGGATGTGAATCATTTCAGTTTTGGTGTGGTACATTAATAAAAGGGGAGTGAGCATACCGCATAAGAACTTGAACCTCTTCCAATATCACGAAGACAAGAGTTCCATTCTATTAGACTCCATGATTTAAGAATATTGTGGTCACTCACCGTTCTATTAGACTCCATGATTTAGGAACATTGTGGTCACTCATCGTTCACTCTTAATTCAATGGTAGAGGAAAAAATAAAAAATAAAAATGATCACCTACCATACTTAATAGAGTTTGGATTGTCGCAGCTTTAGGGTTTTGAGAACTAGTGGTGTTGTTGAATCTCCATGCGTTTTTCCTATGTTTTCATTTTTTTGGTGGTCTCGCTTACAGTGATGACTATATGTGTGATCCAGTACACATTTGTTGTGTCTATCATCTTTGTGGCAAATTTGTACCGGTAATCTCACGATTGTGGTAGTTGTTTAGGGGTTTAATCATTTTGATTGTTTGTGCAAATTACCTCTAGATCAATGTATTTTTTGTCACAGGAGGAATGTATCCAGGTGGCACCTGTTGTAATCGATATTGGTTAGTAATGAAATTGGTATCGCTTGTCAAAAGAATTTTTTTTTTTTTTGCTATCGTGGTTAATTTGTGGTCTATATTTTCGTAGGATTTTGTTTGTTCCTCTTTCTCTGGTCCTTGTTCGACTCTAAGGTTCATTTCTCTGCTGCCATACGGATCTTGTCAATTTTCTCGTGTTGGTTTACGGTGACGGGCAAGTTGAAGGTAACGGTTAAGGTGACTGCGGCTTCAGTTTTCTTTGTTCTAGGTTCACTGGGGTACCGTTTGGTACGTGGGACGGGACGGAACGGAGTGGGATGAGAAGTTCCGTCCCACGTTTGGTGCGCCTAAAATTGGTGGAACACGCTATTCCACGGGACGAATTTTGGGTGAATTTTCGTTCCGCCCTACCCCCTGGAACGACTCATTTCACATCCGTGGAACACAAACTTATAACATCTCCGTCTCCTTCTTCTTCCTCCTTGTTTCCATCCGAGGGCATCTTTGCTCACTCTCCGTTCCGTCCCGTCCTGTCCCGTCCCTTCTCGTCCCATTCCGTTCCGTCCCGTCTGCATATCAAACGATACCTAAAGAGTCCTCATTTTTTCTATGGGCTTTAGTTTAAAGATTTTGATGTTTGTTGTCCTTCATTGGCCTCTTGGGCTCTATACACTTTCAAAGAAAAGTCAAACCTAAATTATAGCAAACCAAAACTTAGAGCGTTTTTATCACGTGGACGATCTGTGCGGACAAAGATTCAACGACTGTGATCAGCCGAGTCTGTTGGTAGAAATGGGTCCTAAAAACCAGTATAATTCACAAGTTTGGTTCCACTTTGCAGACAACATATCGAGTTTGATGGTGATGTACATCTTCATCTACTCAAACGACTTTGGTTTCTCCAAATTGCTGCCCATGCCTATCAGAATTCATAGTGAAGATAAGGTGTCCGGATCCTTCCCCTGAGACCCTTGTCATCATCACCGTCGTTGAGGCCGCTGTCCAGCTATATGTTAACAAATCTTACAGAGAGTTTTGAGTGAGAGAGTAGAGAGAGAGAGAGAGAGAGAGAGAGATGTATTTCTTCAATATTTCATTACATCACTTGTTTATATATAAATACATCCCCATATAACTAACTCATCTAATACACTTGTGACACATGGCACACATCTAATACATAACACTTGGCATAATCCTAAGCTAATCTTTATAGCCTAACATTGCCCCTCAATCTTATGGAGGTGAGAACTGAGTATAAGATTAGAACATTGAACATTAAACTGAGAAGAGCATAACCCCTTGGTGAGCACATCTGCACACTGTTCTGCAAAAGATACAAACTGCAATAAAATTGTGCATTGTTGAACACGTCTTCGCATAAAGTGGCAGTCAACTTCAATATGCTTTACTTTGGAATGTAACACATGATTAGTAGCCAAGGCCATAGCAGAGATATTATCACAGTGTAGTAGGGGAGTAGATGAACTAGAAAGAGGCAGATCCTTTAAGTAGCTGTTGAATCCACACAACTTCAGCAGTGGTAGCCATTGCTCGATATTGAGCTTTTGTAGATGACCGGCTTACTGTATGTTGTTTCTTAGAACTCCAAGAAACCGGATTAGAGCCTAAAAACACAACAAAACCAATGGTGGAACACTTATCATTAGGGTCACCAGCCCAATCCGCATTTGTGTATGCCTTAATACCCATGGAACTAGGTCTAAAACATAAGCCGAGACCAATGGTACCTCGAAGATACCTCAAAATCCTTTGTACAACAATAAAATGATCTTCAAGAGGAGAATGCATAAACTGACATACTTGATTAACAGAATACGCAATGTCTAGCCTTGTGAAGGTGAGGTACTGTAATGCTCCAACAATGCTTGTGTAAAGACTTGGATCCAAAACAGAAGGGCTACCATGATTGAGTAACTTGTGATTTGGATGACAAGGAATGATGCAAGGTTTGCAATGAAACATGTCAGTTTTCTGTAGAAGATCTGTAACATACTTGGACTGATGAACAAAGATACCTTGAGCTTGATATTCAATCTGTAAGCTATGAAAATAGTACAGTAGACCAAGATTCTTCATATCAAATTATTTGGTCAATTGACTGATCACAGGTTGAACATGATTCTTAACATTCCCAATCAAAAGTATATCATCAATATACAAAAGTAGAACAACAATAGACTGGCCATTAGACTTCACAAACAATGATGGATCAGCATACAAGGATTTAAACCCCAAGGATAAAAGAAACCTGGTAAATCGCTCATTCTAAGCTCTCAGAGTTTGTTTTAAGCCATAGAGAGACAGTTGCAGTTTATAAACATACTTAGGGTGATCAACACCCACAAGTTCTTGTGGTTGAGCCATAAAGACGTCTTCATCAAGAAAGCCATGTAAGAAAGCATTTTTGACATCTAGTTGTTTTAGTTTCCACCCTTTTGAAGCAGCTACAAATAACATAAACCTTACTGTAGTAAGTTTAATTACAGGGTTAAACGTTTCATAGTAATCAAGGCCAGCTTCCTGAGAGAACCCCTTTGCCACTAATCAAGCTTTATAACGAGCAACCGTACCATTAGGATGCTTTTTGACTTTATATATCGTGCTACAGTGGAGTCGAGCCCGGGATGTGACAAATTGGTATTAGGTTCCATCAGAACTCCAAAGTTAAGCGAGTTCGTGCGAGAGCAATCCCATGATGGGTGACCCACTGGGAAGTTATCATATGAGTTCCCAGAAAGAAAACCGTAAGGGTGTGGTCGGGGCCCAAAGAGGACAATATCGTGTTACGGCGAAGTCAAGCTCGGGGTGTGGTGGGGGCCCGGGTTGAGATGTGACAGAGTGACAGAGGGCACAGTTTGAGGCATCATCATAAGAGAATTATAGGAAAAATACGAAGCCATCATGTTTGGAGACTGGGTATAACCAGACATGATATGATTCTGTGCATTAAAAGGCATGCCAGAATGGGAAGACTGAAGCTGTTGAGAATAAGGTGGAATAGTATGTTGCATGGGCATAGATGGACTTGGAGAAGTGTCACTACTCCAATATTAGCTTTAGGTGTCGGATGATGGTGGCGGTTTAATAAGTTATTATGTCAGATAAAAGATATCCGACACATCATTCAGTTAGTGTCGGATAACAATGAAATCATGTTGGTTATATTCGACATAAATTCCTAGCGGATATTTAGTGTCGAATGCAACCGCCATAAAGTTATTATACCCGCCAGTATTTTTGAATTCTTTTTTTTTTTAAATATTTTTAACATATTCCGGCGGTATTTAAGTTAATGGTGGTAGTTATAACCGACAGAAATTGACTATTTTATTATTTTAAAATGTTATATTGATTAAAAATAAATAAATAAACGCACGGTTTAAATTTTTTTTTCACTTATGACCCCGTCAGATATAATCGACACTAACAAAACAAAACCCTAGCAGCTATACCTATTCTCATTTCAGCTTTTAATGACCTCAAGCCCAGAGCCCACACGACTCTCTCCTTCCTCAAATGTCCACATTGTCCCCGGTAAGCCCAAAAGCTTAGGATGCGCACACGTGTCGTGCATTAGGAAAATGATCTCCCTAGGATTCCAAATGAAAAGCCATAGGTTTCTCTAATTGCTTTCATTTCTGAGTGTAATTAGAAACCCTAGGTCATTCTCTCTCTAGAAACAGAAAGAGGTTTTCTCATTTCTCTCAGCCCTTTCTCAAATCAATATAAACCCTAGGTAGAAGCCATAGCCGCTCCTCCATCAACCATGAGAAATGTCTTCATAACTCTCAACCTACACAAAATATAGTCTTCATTGCTGTTCAACATAAACCCTTTGCCTCCATTTCTCTCGATCTAGAACTATAATCCATGCCACCATGGCTCTTGGTCCTGTTCATGGAAACCATCATCTGCACTGGATCTCGGTAGCAAAACCCCTAAGTCAAAGATAAAAATCTCATTTTGCTGCCATGGAGTTCCATTGAGTTTGTTGTCATGGAAAAATCAAAGGACTAACACATACATGCAACATTTTGTTTTTTTTTTTGCAAGAGTACACAGATCTACAACAAGGGAGGCGCACCAACACCCAAAAGTTCCCAATCCATGGCGGATTGTCCAAGGCTCCCCCATTTTTAGGTAAAAACGCAATCACCCCTAAACTTTGGTTCTGATGTTATTTTCAAAGTTTTTTTGTGCTGTGATTTTTACACCCATCTGTGTTCTGATGTATGCACAAGAGCGGACTCCAAAGCTTGGATACGGCATTACGCAAGAGAGATAAAACACGGATCAAAATCCAAATT